AGCGATGGGGGCCGCCCTCCCGCAACTTGGCCCGCCCTATCCTCTCTGCCCAAGGCCCCACACTGCCACAGCCCCTGACACCCACAGTCAGCTGGCCCATACAGTCCTGCCCCAGTGGCTTCCAGATGCAGCTCCAAGGCAGAAAGTTGACCTGGGGCAGGGCCCTCCCCCAAGTCCAGACATGTCTGCGCCCCTTCTTGGCCCCCAGAATCAAAGGCTTCCTGCAGCCATACCGGGCCCGCCCCCAGTGATCAGCAGTAGGACAGGCGGGTGTCTGGGCCCTGCCCATGGCACCCAAGCAGGTGCTGCTGCCACCACACCTGACAGGTATGGGTGGGACAGAACGCAACAAAAGCTTTGGAGGGTGAAGGCCCAGCTGAGCCCAGCTGGGTAGGCCACCTTGCAGACCAACAACATCTCCAGCCTTGGCCCCAGGTCCTCACCCCCACGCCTGGCTCTGGGAAAGTGAGGGGCAGCAGGCAGGCCTCCCTGCCTCCACTGGGCCCTGCCTGCAGAGGGTGTGGCACCCACATCCATCCCACATCCTCGGGCCGAGGCGCACCGGGGCCTCTGTGGACATCTTACCGGACAGTGCTGGATTTCTCGGCTCAACTCTAACACTGTCTGGTAACGATGTTCAAAGGTGACCCACCACCCGCCGGGAAGTGGCCCGAGGACACGTGGTCCTGAGCTCCTGGACCCCAGAGCTGGGACAAGGCCTGGTCAACTGGCGGCAGGCAAACAGCCTGTCTCAACTCTGCAGGCCGGCCCAACCAGGGAGACCGCTGCCAAGTCCAGGTGCAGGGCCGGTTCTGCCACATTGGGGCCTTTGGGGCTCCCCAAGAAACCCAGGACACCTGGACCTGGGAAGGGCCACCAGCCCGCAGGGGGCCCTGGGGAGTCCTGGCCTCTCGCACACTCATAGGCTGTGACTGAGCCTAGGTTTTCCTCACAGAGCGGCCAGCAGGCACGTCAACGGCCACACAGGGAAATGGCCTTCTGGCTGGTACAGAGCTGGCAGCCCTCGCCTTCCCTTCCTGGCCCGGCCCATCTACCACACAGAGTCAGATGTTCACTACGGGTGTCCAGGGCCCCCAACACATTGCCACTGTCCAGGCCCTGCCCTCAGAGGTCCCAGGCAGCTGGGGCTGCGGGCAGTGGCCTCTTGCTCCACAAAGGAGGCTACACTCCCTCAGGCCACTGGGACCGCAGGGAGCACAGGGTGCATCCAGGCGCCCAGTGCAGTGAACATTCCGTGCTGCTCTCCCCCCATCCCCCGAAGCCTCGTAGGCGAGACTGGGAACATTGTCCCAAATCGCTGAAGCCAGGATGGCCCTTTATTTTATCGTTCTGATCTGAAGCCAGGACACCCGCCCCAGACCCACTCAGCACAGGCACTGTGGCGGCCCTTCTGCCCTGGACCCCAGTGGCTCTCACAGGGGGCGGAGGGTCTGCCCAGCCCTGCTGTTACTCATTAACTGGCTGAGAGCCATTCAGGAAGCCGTAGGGTGCCACAGCCACCTTGACCGGGGATCCAGAGCAGGGAAGCCAGACTGCTCCCCAGCTGTGCTCTCAAACATGTGTGCCTGTAGGGCCGCTCTGAAGACAGGTCTTCAGGAAAGCTCTCCTTGGGGTGATCCTGGGCTGGGCCACCGGGCCTCCTGGGGCCGCTCCACAGACTAGGAGGCTCCAGGGGTCCTACCATCCAGCTAAACCCTCCTGCTTTCTCAAGGTGACGCAGGGCCGGTGGTGGGCGAAGCCCAGCCCCTCCCAGAAGGGCCACCGGACGAGACTGCCTGCACCAAAGCCGGCCGATGGGCGTCTTACCAGACACGGTTAGATCTGGTCCTTCTGTCTAATACTGTCTGGTAATGCCGTCCATCCCTGGCCTCATCACCGCCGCAGGAGGGCCCTCACCAATGCTGGGTAGAGGGGGTCCAGGGTCCGTGGGTCCCAGCAGTGCTACACTCCCGCCCAGGCCCAGGCCACACCTGACGCCCCAGCCCTGGGGCTTTCTGTCGCAGACACAATGGACTGTTGGTGTAATAAAGCATGGGGGCTCCTGTTCAGCTCAGGTGCACCGGCGACAGGCTCATGCTGTTGGCACTTCCACTGGGCCATGAGAGACCTGGGCTGCAGCAGCCACACCCCGGAGCCCCCCAGGAGCCTCTCCAGGGAGGCACCCTAATCGCTATGCCAGGAGTAGTGGGGGATGAGCAGTACAGGATAGAAGCAACCCCAGCTCCCTGTGCCCCCAGAGACACCCCAGGCCACCCTCTCCCCCACCCCAGGTGGCATCAGGACCCTGAGGGTGCTGGCCTTCCTCCCCTGGGTCCCCATAGACCTGACTTGGCTCTTGGGTGGTAGGGGGCCTCTCCAGGTACCAGGCCATCACACCCCACACCCAGGTACTGCTGGAAGGCCTGGTGGTCCTGCCCCATCCCCTCGGCTCCACATCCAGACATCGTCTGTCTACAGTGGATGCACTGTAGACATCCCACTCACAGGCTCACGGCTGTGACCTCAGAGCCTCTTCCTTCCCTGAGAATTCTAAGCAGGCCCTAGGGTCCCTTTCCATGGCTGATGCCTCTGACCCAGGCTCTGCAGCCAAAGTCAGGGTAGAAGGGCCCCTCTCTCTCTCCCTCCCTCCCTCCTCAGCGCCCACTCTTTCCTGAGTGCCCTCGGAAAGCCGGTGCAGCTCCAGACACACTGGGGATGGGGGGAGGAGTGTCCCTGAAAAGGAGCCACAGAGAGCGAGAAGGCTCTGTGCAGGACATGTGGTCTGCAGGGCTGCCGGTGCTGCAGCAACCGGAGCAGTAGAGGGGCTGCAGAGGTGGGGTGGGGGGAGAGACCAGAGGCTGCATGAGGGCCACTAAGGAGGACTTCCAGCCCCGGCAAAGGTGCCAGTTTCGCGTGGGAGGCCAGGAAGACACTCAACTACTGCTGCAGGAGGGGCACTGGGCCTTTTCCCAGAGAGGGGCTGACTGTCCCCTGCTGCCCTCAGGGTACTCAGCCCTCAGGGTACTCAGCCCAAGCACAGCCAAGCCTGAGGAGAGGGGAGAGGCGTCTGCCCTGTGAGGCTAGCCAGTTCATGCTGGGCTGCCTTGCTCCAGGTTGTAGATGTGACCAATGGCCTGTTGTGGGAAAGGCTGCCTCCAGGCTGGCTTCCTCACCAGCTTCAGGTTATAAAGGAGTTTTTGAGTCTGAGCTCTCCGTGGTACCACATGGGCAGGGGGCTGCCTCCTGAGAACCCATGGGGAGCCACAAAAGGAACGGGGAGGTGGGCTGGCCCAGCTCCTAGGAGTCTGGATCTCTAGAAGTGAAGGGACAGGGGCATGGACTCCTGGGGAGGACAGACTTCCAAAAGTCTTTGCTTGGGCCAGTGGGAAGACTGAGCGGCCTGCAGATGACCAGGGGCCCCCCTGCACACTCAAGGGTGCTTGTCCCCTGCAGGCCCAGGCAGGGGCCCACCGCCCTGAGGTCAGGATGCCCCTCAGACAATAGCTTGGCTGGGGGAGCTCTCTCCCCTCTCACAGACTAACCCTCGGGCAAAGAGATTTCAGACCACAGTCCAGCAGAACTGAGCCCCGCAGGCCACCAGCCCCTGGCACAGGCAGCACACAGCTGAGGGTGCATCAGCCTCTCAGAGGAGTCAGAAGGAAGGGCTTTGGGGGCACATTAATTTCCTGAGGTGGCCACAGCAAACTGCACAAACTTGGTAGCTTAAAACAACAAAAGTGACTTCTCTCATGGTCCTAGAGGCCAGAAGTCAGAAGTCCAGGTATGACCAGGGTCCCTCCTGCCTCTTCTGGCCTCTAGGGCTCCAGGTGTACCTCCACAGAGCTTGTGGACCTCCGGCCACTATCCCACCTTCTGCTGGCTTCTCCCCTCTGTGTCTCCTGCTCTCTGCCTCCCTCTCACAAGGACACTGGTCGCTGGATTTAGGGCCCAGCAGATAATCACATCTGCCAAGACCATTTCTCCAAGTGAGGTCACACCCAGGTTCTGGGCCTTAGGATGTGGATACACACTGCAGGGGGCCACCATCCACCCTACAGGAAGCAAGCAAAGGCATCCTAAGGGGAGACATGCTGCTGACCCATGCAAGGCTCTGGAGGGTGGAGGAAGGGGCCATGCAGGGCAGCCATAAGCCCTCCCAACGTCCCTGGACTCCCAGACCTGGCTGTCAGCCCCACCCTTGGGGAGGCATGGGTCTGCAGAGCTCCACTTTCCGTTTTGTTAAGTGAGGGCTCCACATGCTGAGACTGTGGTGAGAGGAGGTGAAGGGTAGCAGCTGAAGCACAGTGGGTCAGGCCTGCGGTCTGGGCATAGACTTAGGGATCTTGAGAAGGCTCAGGAATGACCCTGGAGGATGGAGAATCTGGGTGGGAGCTGTGCATGTAACACCCCTCTTCCAACCTTAGTCATTCCCTGCCCCCGCCCCCAGGCCAGCCTCCAGCCCCTCCCCATCCACCTGCTCACCTCTGGGCCACTGGGTTGTGGTTGCTGGGAGACGGTTGCCTGGTCACCACTGTTGCTTCCCAGGCAGAGCTCACACCACCTTATGGGGCAGGTAAGAGGGACAGGCAGGCCACAGCGGGGTCCTGGCTGGGCATGAAGGCTGGAGCCAGCTGTGCCGTGGTCCTTACCTGGCCCCCCAGCCCCCAGGAGCCTTGTGGGTCCTCTAAGACTCTGTCCAAGAGTATAAGGGAGGGGAGGGAGAGGAGGGGAGGAGGGGCCTGGCTGGGCAGAGCCCCCTCTGAAGAGGGCCCAAGCACCCAGGGCCATAGGGTGAGGAGCAGAAACGCTCAGGCCAGGCTGAGCAGGGTAGGCCTCCCAGGGACGGCAGCCCCTTAGGACCAGCTGCTTTGCTCAAGACCAGGTCTGTCTCCCTGGACTGAACCCCAAAAGGATGACCACCTAAAATCCACGGGGACCCACATCCCCCCAAGACAGCTTAACCCTAGCCAGAAAGCGCCACCCGGATGAGCAAAGTCAGTACTCAGTGCCCGTGTGGCCACGCGTATATCTGGGGATGGGCCCAGTTGGACATGGTGTCATCTCGTTTCTCGGACATTTCCTTCAGCTTCATCAAGGTCTTCCACTCGTCACACCAGGGCGCCGTTTCCTGCCGGTCTTTTTACCTGACCAGGTAAACGGCTTCTTTAAAAGTTCATTATAAAGTTGGGTTTCCACTGATGGTCCCTGCTCTGCTGCAGCCCTCTCGGGAGCCCTGATGCCATCCTGCCTGTGGGGCCGCAGTTGCCCAAGCTGCATCTGCCAGTGATTACATTCCTTGAACATCTTCCAGCAAAAGCTTTCTATTTAGAATGAGTCTGTCAGAGAGATCCTGAGAAAGGCAATTGTGGACATCCCCCAGTGGTCCAGTGGTTAAGGTTTCACCTACCAATACAAGAGTTGTGGGTTTGATCCTTGGTCCGGGAACTAAGATCTCACATGCTGTGGGGTGAGGTCAAAAAAAAAAAAAGGCAATTGTTCAATAAAGGCTCTGGGAGCTGGAGCTGTGACCCCCCTGATCCCGCCCACAACCCCACCAGCCATGTCCTACAGGCCAGGGACACCACAGTCATCACACGTGTGCATGTCCAGGGTAGGGGTTTTTCTTAATCTTTGTTCATTTGAATGACAAGAAACTGTAATTCATGGCCTGTTTAATTCTTTGCGGAAGTAATAAAATATACAGGGTGAAGACAGGCCAGAGGCCCAGGCTTACAAGGCTTGTTCTGAAACCCACACCCTCACACCCAATTCTGGGCTCCTGTTTCTGGCAGCACCCACTGCTGTGTCCAGATGACAGGCAGAAGTTAGCCAGTGCTGGGCCGGGGACTCCTTTCACACCCCCATGCTCACATGATAACCCCCAACAGTGCCCCTGGGGGTGGCCACTAGCTGGCAACAGCCTGGCCTTCCCATCCTCACTGTTGTCAGGCCAGCCCTCCTGGAATACAGGTGACGAGGCAAGTGTCTGCACATGTCACATGTAGGGACCGTCTTCACAGCAACCCCCTCAACTCTCTCTCAGGTGGGGAAACTGAGGCACAGAGCAACAGCCCAGAGAGCCCCAGCACCTTGTCCCCAGACCTCCGGCCACACTGGGCTGGCCGCAGAGCGTTACCTCCTGATCTGAGACTTCTCAAGTCTCTTTCCTTGTGTTCTTCTTCCCAACCCATTCCCCCGCCTTGAACTTACCACAAGGCCATACCGCGTTTTTAATTCCTACGAGCTGGTCTACCTTATCTGTCCCCGTGTGCTAACCGTCCAGCCCTCTTCTCGGGTGATGATGGCAGTCCTACCCTGGCATGTCTCCAGGGCCACGTCCCTGCGCCTTCTGCCCGCCCTCGCCACCCAGCCACCCTCTCCTCTCTGAGCCCGACTGTGCAGCTGCTATCTCTGTGTGTTGACCTCCTGCTCACACCTAGGGGGGCCTCTGCCAGGTGTCCGGGAGTGCTGGGGGGTAGTACTGCCCGTTATCCTCTCGGGGGCCTCCATCCCCAGAAGGTTTGGGTCTCAGGCAACGTGGAGACATGTGCAGACCACATGCACCGCCCCCCCCCCCCCCCACCGCTGTCCTCAGCAGGCACCACTCCCAACCCCAGTCATGCTGGGCGGGGCCAGCCCCACTAAGACCTCTCATTCTGGGAGGGGCAGGGCTGGGAAGGGGGCTCAAGGTCGTCCACATGGCTTGGCCCACTCTTGGCAGAAGGCTGAGACCCTCCCTGCACCCAGCCACTGCCCAGCCCCCATCACTGGGTTGACAACTGTCTCCAGTTTACCCTCTTCTGTCCTAAATGGGGACAAAGGTCTTGGTCAGCATCTCTAGGGTGACCAGTTGGTTTGTTTGCAAAGCGACTGTCCTCTTTGGAGGAGCCTCTCTGTGCCTGCCCACACTCCAGGTTGCTGGCCTTTCCACTGCTTATGGCTCTTCAGTTTCGGAAAACCCTACCCTCCTGAGCAGCCCCCAAACTGGGAAGGACCTGTCAAGGAACAGCTAAAATTCCCTAAAATGTTCCCAACTCAGCCACTCAAGAAAGGTGCCCCAGGGAGGCATCGTTCTAGGGGCAGGGCCCACAGTCCCATTGACCCTGGGAGAGGCCCTCTGAAGGCCGTTCCCCCCCAACTCCACAGGCCTGACAGCAGCCCTCCTTACAGCTGGCCCCACGGCCGAGTACAGAGACACCGACCACCGACGAACCGTCCCTGCAGGGGAGGACTCGCCCCAGACAGACAGGATGCAGAGATGGCCCTGCCCCCAAGGGGCACCCAGCCCCAAAGTCACCACAGAGACCGGAACCAGACCAGAGTCCAGCACTCCAGGCAGCACCCCTCCCTGCACAGGGCAGGCCCGACCGGGTGCCCAGTTCAAGAGCTAGGACCACAGGTTGCCCGCAGGGCCCACAGAGGAGTGTCTTCCCAGAGGTACCCCTGCCCAGGTACCCCAGTGTCTGTGGCCCGCAGCCACACCCACTTTCTCCACCGCCGAGGACTACCCCCTCGGACCCAAGTCGGCACAAAGAGAGGCAAGCGGTCAAAGACGGCAGGGATCCGGCGGGGCCACGCCCAGGCACCAGGTGAATGCAGCCAGGACCTTCCTGGGGACAGGCACCCCACCCCCAAGAAAGCCTTCTCACAGGGGACAACACAGCTCTGTCCTGGGAGAGCGGCTGGGAGGCGGTCACGTGAGGGGTATGAGATCCAGGCTGGCCTAAGTAGGGCAGAGGCCAGCAGAGTCAGGGTCTGAACAGGCATAAACAGGGGTCTACCCTGACTGACATGGGTCACCCATGACATCATGATGGACATTGTGACCCCCACCCTCCTGGCCATGTCCCTGCCTCACATGTGCCCCCAGCTCCAGCCTCAACCTCAGCCTCTGCCCCCTACCCTGTTGGTAAGGAGGGACACTGCCCACTCCAGAGCTGGCCCTTGATGATGGTGACTCTCCCCTCTTTCCTGGGCCTGAGATGGGCAGAGATGGGCCGAGATGGCTGGGGGACTGCCCAAGGGCTCCGGCCAGATTCTGAGTGAACGCCCTCCCCTCCATTTGAACCTACCTTGTTCACAGGCTGGGCCCATGAGAGACCCATGGGGAGCCACAGAGAGGAGGGGCTCCTGCATCAACTAAGCCAGCTGGACCAAGATGCAGGTGGGTTTGGGCGGGGCCCATCAGGGGGCAGGAAAGCTGCTGGATGGGCCAGAGGCTCTGACTTCCCACTTGCCCACAGAGCTGGATGACTCTGAAGCCATCAGGCCCCAGGCCGCCCTCCTGGAGAAACACTTTCTGGAGGGGGAGAAGCAGCCACCCAGCACAGGGCAGGGCCCCTTCTTCTACATCGGAGGGACCAACGGGGCCTCCATGTGAGTGAGACCTCAAACCGGGCCCTGCCCCACCGCCCCCAGGCCCTACCCACCTGTGCTCCCCGGCTCCGTGGCCCCCAGGTAAGCACTGCTCTTCCCCTACAGAATCAGCTCCTACTGCAAGAGCAAGGGCTGGCGGCGCATCCAGGATAACCGGCGGGAAGACTACAAGCTCAAGTGGTGTGAGGTCAAGTGCAGGGACACCTACTGCAACTTCCGGGAAGGTAGGGGTGGGGCCGGGCTCAGCGGGCGGCCCTCAAACACAGGGTGCCACCGTGTGCTGCCCGGGCTCTGTTTTGCCAGGCAAGCAGCTGCTGTACCAGCTCCCCAACAACAAGCTCCTCACCACCAAGATTGGGCTGCTCAGCGTCCTGAGGGAGCACTCGAGAATTCTGAGCAAGACCAGCAAACCAGCCCCCTGCGCACAGAGCAAGTGAGCCACCTTGCCCCCCAACCCTGGCACCCACTCACCCAGCTGCACACCCCCACCCGATGGGTCAGTCCCTGTTCCTGACCACCCTCCACTTAGTCCATCCACCCACCTGCTTTCCCACTGACCCAGTTAATCTGTCTCCCCCCACCGACACCTGCCACCATCCACCCCCCCACCCCACGGCCTCAGCAGTCCTCACACGCCCGCCACAGAGCCACCCGCTGGCCTCCTGTACTGTCTCCACTGCCCACCACACCCCTGCTGTCCACCCCACAGCCATTCCTGCCCCTGGGCCTGCCCACACCACGTGCCCACATCGTCACTCACCTGTCCACTCCACACCCACTCACTGCCCAGCCATTAACATGTCTTCCCACTCATCCAACCAACCAGCCACCATCTGGTCGTCCACAAGGCCATCTTTACATCCTCGTGTCCAGCTGTCCACCTCCACCATTTCTGTCAGCAGCCCTGGACCACTGCCCTGTAGGCATCTGTCTGTCCATCACACCACACACCACCAGGCTACCGTCAAAGCCTCCACCCATGCCCCACCTCTCGAAATCCCCCAGCCATTCTCCACACACCGAGCAGCCACTCAAGCCAGGTCCTATGTCCCCCTGGGGTGCAGATCTGGAAAGGACATGATACCCGCCCTGGAACAGCTCCTGTGGATCAGCTCAGGACAATCGGGGCCACAGAGGTAGACGCACTCAGCCACTATGCCCTAAACTGAAGGTCAGCCTGGAGGTCCATGAAAGGGCTGAAAGGCACCCCAGGCCAGGGGGATCCGTGCCAACAACTCACTGCAAGCTGGTCAGTGTCCTGGCCTGGAGACCCAGCTCTGAACTGACCACTCCTGAAGACCTAAGAGCTGGGAGGTGGGAGGGGTCAGAGGCAGGTGAGGCGGCCTGCAGAGAAGCCAGGTGTGCCTGAGTTGGCTAGGAAACAGAAGGTGCAAAGGTTCTGCAGAGGGAAGAGCTGGGGTGGCAGATATGTGTTAGAGGACGCCAGAGGCTGCAGGGTGCCTGGAGCCCAGCCCCACTGGAAACTCTCCCTTCAACTGCCACCCCCCCCGACCCAGATCGGGACCCCTGGAATGGTCAGCCAAGCTGGGGGGAGGGGACAACCCTCCCCGTGACTTCCCCACTCCCTGCTTCCCCAGGGTCCTGAAAATGGAAGACTTTTTCCCAGAGACCTACCGTCTGGACATCAGGGACGAGAGAGAGGCTTTCTTCACCCTCTTTGATGGTGAGAAGTCACTGGACTCCAGGCCCACTCTGGGGAGACCAGTGCAGGAGTGGACCAAGATGGGAGTGTGATTAGGGCAGGGCCAAAGTCCTGGCAAGATTGAGGGAGGGGCATGGTCAGGGAGGGAAAGGGTGGAGCCAGCCTGGGTGAGGACAGGGCTGGTACTAGAGGCATGCTAGGGAGGTGTCATGGCTGGACCTTAGTGGAGGTTAAAGCCTGGCAGGCTCCAGGCCATGGCTAGGAGGAGTGTGGGCAGGGCTATGACTGGGAGAGCAGTCAGGGCTGGGAGGGGTGGGGTGGGGCAGGGCAGAATCTAGCCCGCAGGCTCAGATGGCTCTCTCTGCAGAAACCGAAATGTGGATCTGCAAGCCCACAGCCTCCAACCAGGGCAAAGGCATCTTTCTGCTCCGGAACCAGGAGGAAGTCACCACCCTCCAGGCCAAGACCCAAAGCATCGAGGACGACCCCATCTACCGCAAGATGCCATGCCGGGCACCCCAGGCGCGGGTTGTGCAGAGGTTTTGTTCATGGGCCCCATGAGGGGCGTTGAATGGGTGGGGCTGACCCAAGCCCGCTGGTGCCTGTGAGGGTCCTTGGGGGTCGCAGGGCCCAAAGAGGAGTTCTTCATAGTGGAAGATTCAGTGCCCCAAGCTGGGCCTCTGTGTAGCTAGGAAGGGGTGGAGTTTCTCCTGCTGTCAGGGCTGGAAGGAGATGTCCTGCACATACCACCCCCCACAACACACCACAGGCTCATGGACAGTGTGGGGCAGGGGGCACTCAGTTAGCTGTGCCCTGACCTGGTGCCTGCACACTGGCCTGCACACTGACCTGCAGGCAGTCCAGCCTCTCCCCCATTCCCCCTCAGCCAGCTGCAGCCTTCAGGCCCTAGGGCAGAGCTGACCCCCCACTCCCGGGCTTCCTCTGCCTCTGAGTGAGGTCCAGACCCTCAGCCTCAAACCAGAGGCACAGTCCGGCCTCAGAAAGTTCCCTTTGGACTTCCCTCTCCACCAGCGGGACCTCATTCCTGCCACAACTGCTGTCAGTCACCGTAAGCAGCTGCTCCCAGCCTCTGGGTCTCCAGACCTCAGTGCTCTCCACTGGGATATCCCTCCTTGTCTCTCCAAAGGCACCCGCCCTTTAAGGCCCAAGGTCATCTCTGCCTCCTCCTCCAGACAACCTTCCCTGACCATGAGGGCCAACCAGCTTCTGCCTCCCCAACTAACAAGAGCTGTGCCCTGGGGTACCCCAGTCATACACCAGCAGGCTGAGCTCTAGGGGCCAGGCCCTCCTCCCCAGTTCCCTGACCTGTTCAGGCTCAGAAATGTCCCCTGATGAGGGGACTTTACACTCAACTGGAGTAGGGGACCTAGAGCTCACAGCTGAGGCAGGTGGCAGGGGTGCTGGGGAACTAAGAGGTCCAGGTGGGGGCCCGGGCCAGGCTGACCACACCTCCCCAGGTACATCAAGAACCCGCTGCTGCTGGACGGGAAGAAGTTTGATGTGCGCTCCTACCTGCTCATCGCCTGCGCCATGCCCTACATGGTCTTCTTCGGCCACGGCTATGCTCGCCTCACCCTCGGCCTTTATGATCCCCATTCCAGCGACCTCAGTGGCCATTTAACCAACCAGGTAAATGCGCTGCACAGATGCAGCCTTGGACAAAATCGCTGTTCAAGAATATAGACAAGAACCCAGCTGTAGACACGGCCCAGGCCTGGAGCTGGCTCTGCCAGTGGTCAGCAATGCCTCTCACCTTCAGCCACAGCAGGCACCCTGTGAAAGGACTGAGAGCCATGCCCCACCCCCCGCTCCAGTTTGTCTCCCTCTGGGTGTGGATCAGGCACCACAGGGGTGGGAGCAGAGGATGAGGGTCTTGGTGAGGACCTCAGTGCAGAGATGCTAAGGGCAGCTGTCTCCAAGGAAGGATATCAATGGGATGCGTCTGGGCAGCGGCCCCCCAGGGGGGTCTGGGGGGGCTTCTCAAGGGTAGGAGTTGCTGGGGGAGGGTCTCAGGTGGCAGGGCCAGCCCAGGGCGTCTAGGAGAAGCAGGCCCCCGTGGGGGTATGGCAGCATCAGGGTGATGATCTCCATTGGGGCCTCCGTGGGGGACGGGCCTCCAGTTGCTGCACTTCCCCGCAGTCCATGCAAAAGAAGAGTCCCCTGTATGTGCTGCTCAAGGAGGACACAGTGTGGAGCATGGAGCACCTCAACCGTTACATCAATGACAAGTTCCACAAGACCAAGGGCCTCCCGCGAGACTGGGTCTTCACCACCTTCACGGTTTGTGTGTGCCCTGTCCACTCGGCGAGGGGAGGGGATGGGGGTCAGGACTGGGTTGTGGGGTGCTGGGCCACAGGCAGGTCCCTGGGCAGGGCTGCTTCTGGGTGTGCCCCCAGCAGTTGACTCTAGGAGTCCTCTGCTCTCCCTTTCTCAAATGGATCATTCACACAAAACAAAGGTCACCCTGTGAAAGTGCACAGTTCAGTGATTCTCAGTGGATTCACAGAGTTGAACAATGATCACCACCCTCTGATTCCAGAACACTGTCATCTCCCACTGCCCTCCCCAGCCCCTGGCAACCACTAGTCCATTCTCCGTCCCCATGCATCTCCCTGTTCAGGATATGTCACATCAATGCAATCACACAACATGTGGGTTTTCCGGCTTCTTTCATTGAGCATAACATTTTCAAGATTCATTTCATTCCTTTTTATGACTGAATAATATTTCATTGTGTAAATGGACCATGATTTGTTTGGATAAATGTTCATCAGTTGATAGACATTTGGGTTGTTTTTACTTTTTGTCAATCATGAGTAATGCTGCTATGAGTATTCACATACACGAACAGGTATTTCAGTTCTCTTGTATACAGGTCTCGGAAGGGAATTGCATGGTCGCATGGTCCCTCTTATGTTGACCTTTTTGAGGAACTGCCAACATTTTCCACAGTGGCTGCAATCACTCCCACTCCCACCAGGAATGTCTGATGGTTCCAGTTTCTCTGTATCTTTGCCCATACTTACTATCTTTCTGTTTAATAGTTTAATATTATCTCATTACAGGGTTGACTTGCATTTTTCTAATGATAATGATATTGAGCATCGTTTCATGTACTTAGCCTTATCTGTATCTCCTTTAGAAAAATTTCTGTTACCTCCGTTGTCCACTCTTTTTTTTAAATTTTTTTTTCACTCTTTCTTTGTTAGGCTGTGCATGCATGCTTGCCTAGTCACTTCAATCATATCTAACTCCTTGCGGCCCTATGGACTGAGCCCGCCAGGGTCTTCTGTCCATGGTATTCTCCAGGCAAGAATACTGAAGTGGGTTGCTGTGTCCTCCTCCAAGGGATCTTCCTGACTGAGGGATCAAACCCATATCTTTTGCATCTTCTGCATTGGCAGGTGGATTCTTTACCACTAACACCACCTGGGGAGTCCCTGTTAGGCTGTAGAGCTCTTTATATATTGATTGCTATACCCTTATCGGATTGTGATTTGCAAATATTTTCTCCTGTGAGTTCTCTTTTCACTTTCTTGATAATGTCCTTTTTCATTTGTTTCACAACTTGCAGGATCTTAGTTCCCAAACCAAGGGTTGAACCGATGCCCTCTGCAACGGAAGTACAGAATCCTAACCACCAGACCACCAGGGGATTCCTGATAAGGTCCTTTTTTGCACAAAAGTTTTAAATTTTTATGATGTGCAATTTATCTATTTTTCTTTGGTTATTCATGCTTTGATGTCATATTTAAGAATCCACTGCCAAATCCAAGTTGTAAAGATACATCTGCAGTTTCTTCTAAAAGTCCTATGTTTTAACTCTGAGTTAATTATTGTGTATGGCGTGAGGTAAATGCCCAGCTTCAGTCTCTTGTGTGTAGCTACTCCATTGTTCCAGGACCATCTGTCAGACTGTCCTTGGCAAATTTTTGAAAATCAATTGACCAGATATATATGTGTTTATTTCCAGACTCTTAATTCTATTTTATTGATGTGTGTGTCTGTCTTTAAGCCAGCACCACACTGTTTGAGTTGCTGTAACTTCATTCTCTTTCTCTTTTTTTGGGGGGGCGGGGGGTGGGTGCTGTGCTATGAGGCATACGGGAATCCTACTTCCCTGACAAAGGATCAAACCCATGTCCCCAGCATTGGAAACTTGGGAGTCTTAACCGCTGGACCTCCAGAGAAGTCCCTCATGTGTTAAATGAATCACTCTTGCATTTCTGGGATAGATCTCACTCAGACATAGCATATTGTCCTTTAAATATGCTGCTGAATTGGGTTTCTGAGTACTTCATTTAATATTCGTGTGTACCCTCATAAGCAACATTGGTCCACAGCATTATTGTCTATTTGGTTTTGAACATGTTCCCTTCTATTCTATATTTGTAGTTTGTGAAATGTGCCATGTTAGTTGCTCAGTTGTGTCTGACTCTTTGCAATCCCATGGACTGTAGCCCATCAAGATCCTCTGTCCATGGAATTCTCCAGGCAAGAATACTGGAGTTAGTAGCCATTCTCTTCTCCAGGAGATACTCCTGACCCAGGGATCAAACCCAGGTCTCTTGCTTTACAGGCAGATTCTTTACCATCTGAGCCACCAGGGAGCCCTTAAATATTTGGAAGAAATCACCAGTCAAGCCACCTTACTGTGGCCTTTTTTTGTGGGAAGGATTATTTTTATTATTATTACTAACTCAACCTTTTTTTTTTTAGGTGTTTTTTTTTTCCATTTATTTTTATTAGTTGGAGGCTAATTACTTTACATCATTACAGTAGTTTTTGTCATACATTGAAATGAATTAGCCATGGATTTACATGTATTCCCCATCCC